TTCTTGTTCCATCCCAGGCTACCTCACTCTGATAATGTAAGGTCTGCAGGGAATGAGTAGAAATTCTGAAGCTGAACCTACTTAAGTTTTTCTTCAATAATTCAGGGAGAATAGAAATGGAGAAGGAGAAAGAAAACGGAAGTGGGCATTTCCTTCCATGCTGATAGATGGATAGGTAAGGATAGGATAGAGACGCGTAGGATGGGATTTTGTCGTGCAACCTCATCTCTGTATTGTTTTACTAAAATCAGAAGATCAGGAATATTTTTAATGATTCAAGATGAAGAAGAAACATGCTATTCCCTAGGATAAGATATATACATTCAAATATCACAAGGCAACTCCTACACTATTTAATGATTACACCGAAGTAACCTCTAACCTTCCTTCCACTTCCAAGCAGAGAATATTAAAAAAAAAAACCCAAAACAATGATCAACCACAAAGAAGACAAAGAAGAGAGTAGCAGGTGCAGACAAACCAAGAAACTTGGCTGCAAAAGAATTAGAGCAAATATTCACTATGATTTAGATGTTAAATCTGCTTATATTTCCCAATGTATTAAATGACAAGACAAACACAACTTTACTATGGATGAAAGTGATCAGTGTCACAGTCTGGATGAAAATGCTGATGGTATTTCATATTATTTCCTTACTATAGGCCAGGGATGTCAAACTGGTGGCCCGCGGGCCGGATGCATCACATGCAGGCCACGCCCATCCCAGCTCCACGAAGGGAAAAAAACATTGTGATACATCACATGACAGCGTGACACTGCAAGTTTGACACCTGTGCTACAGGCCAATACAGGAGCCAGTAACATTTGAAGGATCCCATCACCCATCAAGTCATAATGAAGAAAGCACTACATTTTAAAGTATGATTTAAAGTATCACTAGCAGAAAACCAATTATATAAATTATAGGATTCATATAAAACATGTCATCCAAAGCAGTATCACACACAGCCGGTAGTTAAGTCATTTTAAACTCTGGCTTTGATTGTTTTATTGAGGTCTCTTCTTTACAGGAGGTTTTACTTCCTTTATTTCCAAATGTAATTTAGCCAACATGCTAGCTACATTTGGGGATTCTCTTGCTTACTCTCTGAATGGCCCCAGGGTTACTTCCTCAAAGTCCTGTAAATATTCCCACACCTTCTGACGATACAAAGCATAGCTGTATACAGGTAGTCTTTGACTTAGAACAATTCGTTTACTGATCATTCAAAGTTTCAACGGCCCTCAAAAAAGCGACTTATGACCATTTTTCACACTTATGACTGTTGCAGCCACCCCATGGACACATGATCAAAATTCATACACGTTATTTCAAGTATACTGTTTTCATAGCAACACTACACAAAATAATCAGAACACAAATATACAAGAACCTGAGGTATGCCTCAATTTGTTCTCCCAACAGAAAACTATGGTAGCCTGTTATATGTGAATCAACCAATAAATGCAACTATTTATTGCAGAGAGCAGTAACACAAAAATGCACTCAAAGCAGAGAAACCTAGTAGCATGAACCTCAAATAATACTGTATTTTATAGTACCTTAGAATATACGGAGATGTTCTACTGTGTTTCCCCCAAAATAAGACCCTGTCTTATATTTTTGCCACAAAAAAGGCACCAGGTCTTATTTTCAGGGAGGGGGGGTATTGGTCACTTATGTGCTTTGCCACTGGCCTCCTTTTCGCTGTCACAGGCCTTCAGGAACTTCTTCGGCTTCGGATAGTTTCAGCCAGCCCTTGCACATCTCAGCCCATTTCTTCTGCAGCCAGCAAGGTTTTTCTGAAGGTCTCTGTAGCTGTTAACAGAGCTCTGGATCGATCTGGAGCTCTGTGATCAGCTACAGAGGCTTTCAGAAAAGCCCTGCTGCTGCAGAAGAAAGTGAGGTGTGCAAGCGCTGGCTGCAACTATCTGAAGGTAAGTAGTAGGGCAGCTGCACTCCGCTATCCCCATCCTAGCTTAATTTTTACCCATGAAGCCTGGAGTGAGCGGGGTCTTAATTAGGGCTTACTTGGGGGGGTGGGGATAGGGCTTATATTGGGTGCATGTGTAAAATCAAGCTAGGACTTACTTTCTGAGTAAGTTGTATTTTCGGGGAAACACGGTATCCAGAGAAGGAACTTTAGCATTTGTTATCATCGTCTAGTTCTATAGCTTCCAACTAAATTCTTCTCTAAAGTCTCTCCAATCATTGTTTTGAATCAATGGAAAATTGGGGCCAGTGGACAAATAGAATAGAATAGAATAGAATAGAATAGAATAGAATAGAATAGAATAGAATAGTCCTTATGATTCTTGACTCTTGACGAATGTATCTTTTCTTTTATGTATACTGAGAGTATTTGCACCAAGACAAATTCCTTGTGTCCAACCACACTTGGTCAATAAAGAATTCTATTCTATTCAAATGTAATCAGGACATATGGCGGGACTAACATGGTAGAAGACAGCTCCCAAACAGTTGCCTCCAGCTGCCTCTTCCTGCGTTCTCTCCACTCTATTAGTATGCCTCTACCTAATTTTGTGACAGTCCCACAAAACCAGTTCCAGCTGGGGCATCTAATCAGCCCTTGGACTACTGCATGGCTATCACTGTTTTCCAACTTTCTTCTTTTTGAATCAGGGCGAAGGGATCTATACATATAGGTTTTGGGCGGGGGGTAGTGGAGGAAAGGAAGTGAGGGCTCTTCTAAATTTCTTTGACTTCCAGCTAAGGTGTCCACTGAATGATAGATCTATGAAACAAAGGAAGGCATAGGTAAGCCTGACTCACCAGGCCACCATTATAGTTGCAAAATAATCCAGAGAAATGACAACATACATTGTGATCAGTTGTTAGATTAAGAAGGGAGCGTAAGTTCTTCTGTTCCCAAAACAAAGCAGCAACCCTTTGAATCAGGCTACACAATCTAATTGTTTTAAATCATTCAGATTACCAAAATCAATCCCCATGTTTTCTCTTTTCGGAAATTTCAAGCTGGTCCTGCCCTTTGCAAAACAAATAAAGAAGATGGACAGAGAACAAATAGATTATGGACAATAATCACACTGATATGCGTGTTTCCAATAACTACCTACTGCATTTTATTTTATTAATGATTGACCATTGTTGCCGTTGAAACCTGAAATTCTGAAACCCTAAGTCATAATCACTACACTAATGAAGTCACGTTTTTTGGCAGTTGATAATCCCTTAGAGATCTGTATTAATGGCTTTTCATAAAGTGACTGCTTTTAACAACTGCTGAACACAACGGTGCTTGGTGTCAGGTAGGTGAGTATTTGCATAGCTTGCCTTTATTTTTTCCAGGCTATCACATTCCTGATTTAAAAGTGGCAAAAAAAGGTGACATAATCATTTGAGGGATTTCCCTTTGGGGAAAAACCAGTCAGAAAAGAATGGCTGGTGTCAATAGAGCTTTTCCATCTGGCTCCCCCCTCGCCCAGATGTGGTCCTGGGTCTTAGGTGACACTAAGCCCCCAAAGTCAATGAGCATCTGTTCTTTTCCTCCACCCACTGCAATCTGCCCCAAAACTGCCGGGTTTCGACAGCCATCAATCAAGCAGTAATATGCTGACCACAGGACCCAGTGGGACATCATTTTCTAAGTCAAATGCAGCAGTTAGCATAAATAAAACACTGCAGCCATGGCTGTATGTGTGTGTTTCTTTCTTTCTCTCTCTCTCTTTCTTTTTTTCTCCTAATGATTCTGCAGCTGCTGTTAAGAACTCTGCATGCAATGAAACTGAGAAAAATAGGCAGGGCAGAATGGCTATTTTGCACTTCTGAGTCATAACAGTTATGACGCGATAAGAACCATTTTCCATGAATTTTTAAGGACCAGTTATCCTGCACTGAGACCTTCCCCAAGTAAAAGGGAGATAGATCAGAGTAGGATTGACAGCTATTTTTATCCTAATAGACAAGCACAACTAACCAATACTGAAAGTTACCTGCACTCCAGTTTTATATTCTAGCTCTCTGGATTTGGCCTTCCTAAATTTAGTTTAATGGCTCAGAAAGCAGCAAAAATGAGGAGGACTTCTTTGCCAATCACCCACTATCAAATTTTGAACACTGGAAAGCTGCATAGTATTTTTTAAAAAAATAAATGTGTTTTCCTTAAAACGATTATCCAAGCATTATGGGTAACATGCCAAACACTGCTAAGTACATCAGAGCATAGGTTTAAAAAAAAGTATCACAAGGATTACTATTTTGTTTTAGTAGTTGAATGCATTGAATGTCAATATTTTATGTGAAACCAATCAATTCAATTTTATCATCTGATTAAGCCTTAGGAAAAAGCAGGTATGTAGTTAATTTTTAATTCTACTGTGAAGTCATTTATCTCATAATTGGTGCTACCATTATGTTCTGTTTTAACACTATCTTCACACACTGCTAATTTAAAGTTGACACTTGTACACAACAATGAGTTGCGTACTCCTACGTATTTCAGATGTCAGAATGAGCATATCTGGTTGTGCAGTGGACAGTATTCTGGCATTAAGCTTGAGGACTCATCATTAGATGGCACCCACAACTGATTTGCATGTGCAACTTCTAGTCCAGCCAAAAAAATGTTGAAGGCATACTTGATGCATCATGAACACAATCAAAAGCAAGTCCTCCTGGAAATTAAAAGGAATTTAACTGCAATAGTGCAGTGCTTGTATCCTATTGATATCAGCCAAAACCTTAGGCTAAGTTGCTTGTTTCCTTTTTCTTCAGAAAATCTACATGTATCAGTTGTGAAATGTATAAAAAACCATGATCAATTAAGATCTGCAGCCAGGGTAGCTTGACTGTGGACAATAATCAACAACCTTGTGGTTTTCTGATATTTTGAGGTTAGGATTAGGGTTGAGCTTATCCCAAATTCTTGATTGATTTTGCTGGAGGAAGAGTTAGTGTGATGTTAATAGATTGTGATAGGTTGACGTCTACCCTCAGCCATGGAAGTTCACTGCTGACTTTGGACCACAGTTTCTTCTCTCAGTCCCATGTACCTCAAAGAATGGTTGATGTAGAGGAAAATGTATCCTGCACTGATCTCTTCAATAAAAGATGGGATCTAACTAATAAACTCAAAAGAAACAGCCAATAAATACAGAATTTGTTTGATGAAGATGAAACATTAAAAGCAAGTAATTAAATACATACCAGGAAACATAATCTGCATGAAAACATGTTTCCAAATTTTAGACAGAAATAAAAGGTTCTCTAGGTTCCCTACTTTCGTTAGGTACACAAAAGGCAACACCAGAGTCCAGTAGTTGGGTGCATATGAATAGTAAGTAATGCTGCCAACTCCACTAAAGGAAAAACAAGCTCAGAGCAAATTAGAAGTAAAAAAGGAAAGTCTAAAGTCATAAAAAATAATTGTAAGAATAGAGAGCTGCTTACATATTCCTATCTTGCTCCATCTAATATCGAATGACAGAACATTGGTACATGACAGAAATAAAATGAGATCAACATATTCAGGTTTCATTAAATCACATCCTCTGGAACTAACACATTGCTCAACTGCAAATGTGACATGAACTAGATCTTGTCTCCAGCACAATAATCCCTCTGAACTCTTAGGACCTCAGATTCCTCATTAAAAAGAGAGAAAAAGACACTAAGTTTCTAGTCTTCAACGCTGCTGAGGACCAGGTAACAAGTTCTGAACAGATTTTGTGGTAACATATACAGCAGTTTCGATAACATTTAATTCTCTATGACAAAGGGCAAATTCATCATCTGCAAACTATTATCCTATTAAAATATTAAACTACAATCACAGGGATAGAATCAATATCACCAGAAGTGATACTACTGCTTTATAGTACCTTGGAAAGACCACACTTGCATTATTGCATTCAATTTTGCACCACGAAGTAAAAAAGATGTTGAAACTCTGAAAAAAAGACTACAGAGAAGAGCGACAAAAATTATTGAGGGAGGGGCTGAAGACTAAAACATATGAAGAATGCTGCAGGATCTGCTATGTTCAGTCTAGTGAAAAGAAGAACTAGGGGTGACATGATAGCAGTGTTCCAATAATTGAGAGGCTGCCATAAAGAAGAGGCCTCAACTTATTTTCCAAAGCACCAAAAGACAAGACAAGAAGCAATGGATGGGAACTGAATAAAGAGAGAAGTAACCTAGAACGGAGGACAGTAAGAACAATCAATCAGTGGAACAGCTTGCCTTCAAACACTGAAGGCTGTTAAGAGGAGACTGGAAAGCCATTTGTCTGGAATAGATCTCATGCTTGAGCAGGAGGTTAGAGTAGAAAAACAGGATCCCTTCCTATTCTGTCATCCACAAAATAGGAAGACTATAGTTTGCTATGGGTAACTTTTTAAATACAGGAGGAACACTGAACCTGGTTTTCCACAACTCCCACTATCCAAACTCTATGCATGGACCACATTCTCACTCTGTGCCTCCCACAACCAGTAAAACATTGGATATTACTTAGAACAAACTACATGAATTCTATCTTGTGGTGCCACTGCAGACCTTGGATGCGTTTATAGAGTACTCCTTCCAACAATATTTCTTGTTACTACCTTTATTTTCCTATTGAGAGGTAATTGATTTATGTTGCTATCAAGGCTCGCTGCCAAGTCTCTCATTAAATATTTTCATTTTCGTGTCTTCAACCAAACAGAAAGAAAGAACTGCACCCCTTAAGTTCACAAATGCCCTTTCATAATTGGTATGTTGCATGTCCCGAAACATTAATTCTATTTACAAGTACATTCTTCTGCTCTATGGTGTCAGTTCACAATATACCTTCTCATCAAGTAATCATTCGAAAGAAACATATAAAATTGTTAGTTCTGGGCTGCTGGAACATGGTAGCTATTAGTCTTTTTGCCTTTGGTTCGAATGTGCGAACATTAGGACATCATTATGGGTTCATTTAAAATCTCTTTGTTTAATTGGATTTCTAGAAAGCTTCTGCAGTTATCTTCTGAATAAGCTACTTTCAGGAAAAGGTTATCATTTGTTTGACATCAGTCGCTGAACAAACTTCCTTTACCCCCTGAAAACCTACTTAAAACTATAGAAAGTGGCCTTATTAGCAAATGGGAAGGTTCAATATTCACATTACAGTCAATACATTGTCTTACCTATCACTTCATTACAAGAGAAACACAGTCTTTCTGCCTATCCTAAAATATGCAATTACCATATTATTCGCATTATAAGACGCACCTGACCATAAGACGCACCTAGGTTTAGAGGAGGAAAACAAGAAAAAAAATATTCTGAACCGGAGCCTGAGAGGATCACAGATTTATTATTTAGTTATTTTTAATTTTTAATTTATTTATTTTGTCAAAAACTTACAATACAATAGAACTAAGAATAAACATAAGTTAAATATAAGAAATAGGAACTAATAATTGGGGACAATAGGACAGGGACGGTAGGCACGATTGTGCACTTATGCACTCCCCTTACAGACCTCTTAGGAATGGGGTGAGGTCAATAGAGGTTAGTTGGAGGGTAAAGGAGTGGGGGTTTGAGTAGGTGACAACAGAATCAGGTAGTGAGTTCCAGACATTGATCACTCTGTTGCTGAAATCGTACTTCCTGCAATCAAGTTTGGAGTGGTTTACAATAAGTTTATATCTGTTGTGTGCTCTTGTGTTGTGGTTAAAGCTGAAATATTAATTAACTGGTAAGATGTTGTAACATATGATTTTGTGTGCTATGCTTAAGTCCAATCTTAGCTGGCATAGTTCAAGGTTGTCTAAGCCTAGAATCTCAAGTCTGGTGGTGTAGGGTATTCTGCTGCGAACAGAGGAATGTAGTGCTCTTCTGGTAAAATATGTGTCCTCTCATGTGAGGATAGGTGTCCCCTCATGTGCCAACTCTGCCTATTGACTCCTACACTGCGGAAAAGAGACAGACGAGGTAGGCAATGATAAAGACAGAAGAGGTGGGATTCAGCACTATAAAGGGACCCCGCCATGGCAGCCCGGCTGCTATTCACCAAAGGACCAGCACTATGATGCAATATTTACTCCTTAAGATGCATAGACATTTCCACCCAACTTTATTTGGGGGGGGGGGGGGGAGTGCATCTTATGTAGCGAAAAATATGGTAATTGCTTAAAAAATAAAAGTTGACCAGTCTGAAGAACATAGGAATCGTTTCATATGTTATTGAAAAGATAAATGTTTTTTTTCAAGCAGCATAATCTATGCATGTTCAGTACTATATTTCCTAACTAACTGCAATCTCTCTACATTAGCATGAATTCTAAAAGAAGTACTTTTCTCCTTCCAGAAAGGCAGTGCTACCTTTTAAGCTCAACAACTGTGTTGAAAATCCTTCAAAACCCAAGGTATTTTTCTACAACAAAGAAAGTGTAAACTACTTTTAATTCCTACTAAACTTAGTGCAGATTTACATACTTCATGTGTTCATTGCCTCAACACTTAGATCATATAAAAATATGATCTAAGAATGATCACTATGGAGTAAAGATTTTAGACCTAATTCAGGGAGATTCAGAAAGCTAAATGATTCTGACATTGATTTTCAAGTGTCTTCACCCTTGTTCAAATACATGGCTATGGGATTGGTTATGGGATCAAGAGATCACTACCCCTGCATCACCCTCCTCTCAAAATATTGTCCTGCTCTATGACAGCTATAGACTTCTGCAGTCTCAAAGCCATTCAAACAAGCCCATAGAAGGTATGAACGTAATTTATATTCAGTCCCTGCTACATACATAGATTCTAAAGTCAAATTCCACTTTGAAATTATAAGGACCACCCTATAATTCATAAAACTTATCCAGATGCCACATGTAAAGATGTTTTCAGACTACAAATCCTCCAAATACTTAAGAGCATTCCAGAAAGCATGGGCTACAAGTATAAGAATCTGGAGGGCATATGGTTGGAAATGACGTATCCAACTGGAAAGCACTACAATCAGGAGCTTCTTTCTGCTCAACAACTTCTACATCCACTTTCCCATTTTTGCTTAAATGCCACTCAGAGCCATTTCAAAGTCTAGTTGTTAATAAAGAAACCAAGTATCTCAGCTAATCCAATCTCATTTCCCACTTAACTGCTTTGAGTCTAAAATAACCTTTCACCTTGGAAACACTGCACAGAAAATTCTCTACCGTGAGCAACCAAGGCATCTGCTTTCATAATAAATCAAGAAAGTGCATTGTTTAAATGGAACCTATCTAAATCCAGAGTCCGACTCCGATAAGATAGTTTGGAGAGTTTTTAGGCTGTAAGCTCGTTCAAAATCAAAACCTGCTCCATAGTAACTTGCTTGTAGCCTTATTAATACCCATTAAGCAGGTTTTCAGATTTTAGTAGTATTCTCTTACACTGATTAACATACTTTTCAAAGCCCAAAGCTGCTGCTGTGTACCTTCAAGAGTAAAAGCAGATTATACAGAAATAGCAATAGCACATAAACTTATATACCGCTTCACAGTGCTTTACAACACTCTCAAAGCAGTTTACAGGGTCAACATATTGTCCCCAATAATCTGCTCCTCATTTTACCGACCTCGGAAGGATGGAAGGCTGAGTCAACCTTGAGCCTGATGAGATTCGAACTGCCAAATAGCAGGCAGCTGGCAGTCAGCAGAAGTAGCCTGCAGTACTTGCACCCTCACCACTGCGCCGCCACCACCATGCACTTTATATGCAAAACTGAGCATTTCTGATGAATAAAGTACAGGTAGTCCTTTACTTATGACCATAATTGAGCCCAATTATTTATGTTGCTAAGTGAGAAATGCATTAAATGAGTTTGGCCTGGCTACCCTATTGACTTTGCTTATCAGAAAGTCAAAAAAAAGAGGACCACATGACCCAAGGACAGTGCAACTATCATAAATATGAACCAATTGGCAAGCATCTGAATGTGAATCACGTGACCATGGGAATGCCAAAAACGGCCATAATTGTGAAAAATGGTCATAAGTCACTTTTTTTCAGTC